GGGGGTGGGGGACAGAGGCTGACCCTTCCACCACTCATCTGGTTGGCATGCAGGCCTGAAGTCAGTAGCTGCTGAGTTTGAGGGCCCGCAACATGCAGACTCACACCTCATTGTTACCTCTTGTCTAAACCTCACAACTGTCCTGTCCTGTTACTAGGCTGGTGTCATGCATGGGTAAATGGAGGCACAGAGAGGTTTAGTAACTTATCCAAGGTCACAGAGGAAGTGCAGGGGCCAACTGGAGCCCAGGTGTGTCTGATCCCCAAACCTGTGATGGTGATGATGCCCCCCACCCCCCACCCCGGCCAGGTGGGAGCTTTGGCACCACCTAGTGAGTGAAAGGGGACTGAACCACTTAAGCTCTTGAAATTATTTCCCTCCCTCCTCCTCTCTGCTTCTGAGGGCTCTATTAGTGTTGACTCATAGGGGGTCAAGTCCGTATGTGAAGTGACCCCTTCGTATTCTGCCCTGGGCTAGCAATCCCCCGCCCTGGCTGTCCCCACTCCCATCCACCACAGCCGGGGAACCATTGTGAACTCTCTGGTTTGCCTTTGAACAGCCAGGACGCCCTCTGCAGACAGAGGTGAAGAAGCCGACGCTACCAGCAGCCTCCCGCCGACCACCGACGAGACCTCTCAAGCCTTAGCTGGGTCCCACTCCCTGGACAGTCCTCCCAGAAACCTGGAGAGGTCCACGGGCCAGCTCCCCAGCCCCCCGCTGCTGCCCACCCCGCTGCCGAAGGCAGGCGCCAAAGCCACAAAGAATGCCACAGGTGGGTGTGCCTGCGTCGTCCGTCCACCCATCAGTGCCTCAACCAGTGCTGACGGCTCCCACGGGGGCTGGTTCCCACCCTTCGCTTCTGCATTCAGGGGTCAGCAGGTCCAGGGGAGCAGAGCCGGGCGGGAGGGCTGTTCTTAATGAGGATCTCTGCTTGTCAGAAGCAGGTCGCTCAGTCTCCCTCTGGCCAAATGGGCAGCCTGTGGGCAGGAGACTGATGTCTTCCAGAACCCAATGCAGGAGAAACAGCCGCCCAGACAGGCCTTTCTGTCTGTCTGGGTGTGCAGGTGGCTGTCCTGTTTCCCTCTCTTCTCTCTCTCCCCTCCCCTTCTTCCCTTTCTCAACCCCTCTCTGTGTCTGTTCTTCTCCGTTTTACCTGCTATCTCCCCAGGGAGCTCCGTGCAGGAAGGCAGATTAGGCAGCGGTCAGAGGGAGCACGCGGGGCAGGGGCCCCCAGAGGCCTCCCTTCTGGAGCTTTGGCCACGCTGGCTGAATAATCCCAGGCAGCTGACACATGTCCTTTCCAAGCTTGGGTAGCTCCTGTCCCACCACTGCTGGGAACCGGGGGCGCTGCTGGTCGTGGGGAAAGGCTGCTCTTCGCCAGGAGGGATTGCTTTTGGAGTAAATCCTGATAGCCCCGAGGGCGGAGGGTGTGCAGATGACGGCAGGTAGCAGAGGCCACTCGTCTGCTCTAAGCCCCTGACCTCCACCCATAACATCTACTTACCACGTGTCCGGTGCACACCAGCCCCAGGCACCCCAAGGAACCCCGAGTATACACGGCCCATTCACTGTCCTTGAGGGACAGGGCATGCTTGGTTTACAGTGGAGGAAATGGGCTCGGGGGCTCCAGCAACTTGTCCAGGTCCCCCAGCTAGTGGAGACTTGAACCCAGTGTAGGGCCTCCACGCCCCCCTGCTTTCCCTGCTGGAACGTCCTTCCCCTCACTTCACCTGGCCTGTGCGCCCTGTCTCTTCCTCCAGGGCCCTTTCCTGACCAAACCCCTCAGGCACGTGCACCGTGCCCTCGGCATTTGCCACGTCCTTTCACTGCAGGAGAGCATCAGGGGACACTCATTGGATACGTCACCCACTGACATGGGGACTGGAGCAGGAGAGGAAGGGACATGAGGGTGGCCACAGGACTTTGACCTTTGGCCTTTGGCCTGATCCCTCACAGCCGAGACCACATTTGGGAGAGTCGCTTCACTTCCCCACTGTCCTTTTTCCTTTCCTTTGGGGGAAATGTTCCGTTGATCCTGTGAACACTAGGTAGGGCGAGGAGGAGAGAGGCTCCCTCCCCTGGGCTTCCCTGGGGCTTGGGGACGCAGGAGCAGAGTCCCCTGGTCGCTTTCTTGTCTGAGATGCGCAGCAGCCCCCAGCCCAGGCTCCCTTCCCCCTCCCTCCCTACCAGACATCAGAGAATAGCCTGCCCCAAATCCCACCAGGGACTTGCTGCATGGTGGTCAAGCCTGAAAAAAAATACATATTAAAGTACACTGAAGTATTAGATATTAACATGTATAAAAACATAGGAAAAACTTCACCTTTAATCCAAATTTCTGGCTTTTCTTGAAAAGTCTCCATTTCTGGCAGCCCCAAATCACAACAGCCCTATTAAGATGGACAGGCTCTCCTCTGTTTGCCGCAGTCCCCACCCCTCCCTTCTGTGTGAATTGCCCCTTGATTCCCCTGTGTTTCACCTGCTTGGATCCTGGAGACTCAAGAGTTACCCCCTCTGGGAAAGATATCCCTGCCCGGGCACAGCTGGGTGACAGTCAGCTCCTTGTATGGGGTCCTGTGGCCTTTGCCAGCTACATCTGGAGTCACTTGCCAGGTTCCAGTCCCAGCCCCTGCCACCTCCTGGAGATGCAGGACCTGGAGTTGGCTTCTGAACCTGAGAGGAGTGGTGAAAGGTGCCCCGGGCAGGTGAAGGGCTCGGCTGTGTGGTATTTGTTCCCTGTGTCTGTGATGGTGGGGGTGCAGGGCCCAGTGGAGCCCAAGCTGCACTGGCATTGCTGGGCTCCCCTGGCCAGGGGCCTGCGTCCTCTCTGCTCCTCGGCTCCGGGGCCTTGGCGGCTCTTCCTCACTGCCCACGGACTTGGGTTCTCCTTTGGTCCTCACTCCCCAGGCCAAGTTGTGCTCTTTCAAGACTCTGGCGGGAAGAATACTGACCCTCCCCTCCGAGGACAGCTTTCCACGCCCACGGGCTCTCCGCATCCCACCACAGTCCACCGACCGCTGCCCCCCAGCCGTGTCATTGAGGAGCTGCACCGGGCGCTGGCCACCAAGCACCGCCAGGACAGGTAGGCGGATGCCTGGCAGCAGAGACCTGCGTGCCTGGATTCCCGGGGGCAGCCCGTAGGGAGCACCGTGCAGTCTCCAGGCTGGGCTCCCTGCGCTGTCACTGTCCTGAAATTCTTGATCACGTCTTAACAAGCAGCCCTGCATTTGCATTTGCATTTTACCCCAGGCTCTGCAGCTGGTTTGCAGCTGGTTTTGGTCACCAATTCTGTGAGGGGTCAGGCGGGTGGTGTGTACCGTGGGAACCCAGACACAGAGCCCCTTGTTTCCCCAGAGGGCCCAGTGGGGCGGGGCGGGAGCTTCCCACCCTCCCAGAGGCCCCGGAGGGTGGAGCCTGGAGTGTTCACCTGGCAGGAGTACCAGTGCTTGTGCCAGAAGGCTCACCCTGGTGTTCTTGATCTCACCTGGTTGGTTTGTTGCCTGTGAAGAAGCCAGTTGTTGGTGGGCAAAGTGGGTGATGGGACACACACACAGGGCTTGGCAGAAACACCCGACAAAATGCCCTTCTTGGGTCTCAGAAGCCCTTGGTCTGAGTGTTTGCTGGGCTCAGTTTAGTAGGTTTTATTCCATGTGTGTCTGTGCTGTTCAGAACCTCACATTTTCAATAGCCACGTGCTGTGGGCTCAGGGCCGTGTGTGTGTGTGTGCGTGTGCGTGTGTGTGTGTGCACCCGTGCACAGGTTCTTGCCTTTCGTGCTTCTTGTCCTGTGTGTTTGGGACAGAAGCAAAGAAGTCGCTCTTGTACTCGGTGTCATTGCAGTATCTATAATGAGCCCCCCGTCCCCTGTCAGTTCTGCAGTGTTTCCAGGTGAAGGGACAGCGTGTAACCCAAACCACCTTTCTCATTCAGTTTTCAAGGGAGGGACAGTAAAGGGTCCCCGAAGAAGCGGGTGGACGTCCGCCTGTCGAGAACATCCAGCGTGGAGCGGGCCAAGGAGCGGGAGGAGGCCTGGGGCGTGGACGGCGCGCCGGAGGGCAGGCGGCCGGCGGCCAAGGAGTCGGAGGAGAACAAGGAGAACTTGCTGGTGAACTCGGGGCTCAAGGAGGACTTGCTCCTGTACCAGGACGACGAGGCTCTGAACGACTCCGTCATCTCCGGTGAGCCGGCCCTCGGGCGCCGGTCCCCCCGAGGCGGTGTCTCTGCACCGAGCCCGCGCTGAGGTGGCGCCCCTGCCGCAGCGTGGAGGAGGGTGGGGCGGAGGGTCTGCCCCTGCGAGGGGCGGGAGGGGGACCCCTCCGACAAGCAGGGGCGTGCAGACGGGCTCGCGGGGCTGAGACATGAGCGAACTTGTTTTATTTTGATAACTGCATGTTAATTTTCACTTATACTTGAGAAAAGATAACCGTGACTCAGCAGGTGACTCAGAGTATCCCTGCTTGGGATGACATGGCAAAAAGGGACACAGGCTGTCCTCGGAAGTCCAGTGTTTGGGAATGGAGCAAAGAGTGCTAACAGGAAAGCGAGATGAGATGGGGGGAGGGGTCGATTCCAGGGGCACCGGAAGTGGTGTAAATGACAGCCTGTGCCCTTTGGGGCGGCGTCCGTCACAGGCCCTGTCCTCACAATGTGCTCAAGGTTATGGTGTTTGCTCTGTCCTGCCCTTGAGGATTCGGGGGCCCAGCAGACAGCACTGCAGATGCCCCTTGATGAAGGGAAGGAGTGAGGCAGGAGCAGAGGCGCAGGGTCCCTGTGTGCCTGCTGCAGGCGGCTGAGCTGCCCTGGCCTCGGGGAGGGTGCAGGGTGGCCGTGGCTGCAGGCCGTTCAGGGGGGCAGCTGCGACTGAGAAGCGTTACTGTTCTTCCTGGAAGCATCTCCGATTGACTGTCACAGCCGTGGACAGAGCGCGGGGTTCTCCGCAGTGGGGCCAGGCCCTGGGCGGGTCCCCAGGGTCTCGCCTCCATGTCCTCACTGACCAGCCCGAACACCCTCATCCTGGGCTCTTGCAACAACACTGTAAATGTTCCTTTAGCTCCAACACAGTTGCAAGTTTAGCTTAATTTTGTCATTCTCAGTATTGCCCGTCTCCCCACTACTTTATCAGTTACCTGATTATTTCAGTTACGCGTTTAACTGCTGTCCCCCCCCCAAGGGACAGTGCCCACATGCCTGTGCACCATGTACCCCTCGTCCACACAGGGCCCGGGTCTAAGATCAGAAAGCAGCTGTGGGACGGTGGCTTTAAATTTTGCCTGCAGCACCCATGGGTCCCCATTCACTCCTCCAGCCCGTGACCCCCGAGCACCAGGTGTCCCTCCATTGACTGGCACATCCACCTGAGGTCTCGTAGGTGTGGCTGGCCAGGTGTCTTCAGGTCTGAGCTCGGGACCTTTGCCTCTAAACCCGGACTGCACCCATCCCTGTAAACCGTGCCTCTGACCTTCCCGTGGCCTGGAGCCACCTTGACGCTCTCCTGACTTTGCACCTGACATGCAGACAGCCTCGGGCATTTAAGGACATGGCACCTGCGAAACAGGAGTATTGTCAGCCCAGGGAGCCCTCATCCTGGCCATTTCTCCCAGGGCCTGGGTCCATCCTGAGACTTCTGTTTTGTCTTTTTTTTTCTTTTCATTCGAGGGTATTTTTTCCATTGCTTTTTAGAAAGAGTGGGAGAGAGAGAGACATCTACTGGTTGCCTCCCATATGCACCCCGACTGTGGCCGGGTAGCGAGCCTGCAACCGAGGTACGTGCCCTTAGCCGGAATCAAACCCGGGACTCTCTAGTCCACAGGCTGACACTCTAACCACTGAGCCAGACCGGCCAGGGCTGCTTTTTTGTCTCTTAAAGCCTGGTGTCCTTCACTGAGCAGGGAGTTTGCAGTCTGATGGGAACACAGGGAGGGCCAACTGGTTGTAGAAGCTCCGCTGTTGCTACCGTGCCGAGCTCGCCGCCACCAACTGTATTGGCAAACTCCCAGCAGAGCGTTCTCTGCCCGGGCGTGGGGTCAAAGCTCACAGCCCGAGAACATCATGTTGAGGGCTGGGCCTTTGTGCACAGTCGGGCCCGTCTGGAGATGCCTGCACCTGTAACCGGAGCCTCTGAGGGTCGGTCCCGGCATAACCTGGGGTCCCCAAGCCCTACAGTCAAGTGTAGAAAGCAGATTCTTAGCTTTTGTCACATTCTCATGTGTCCACAGCTCTCGCCGTGAGGAATGTCCAAGACAAAATGCTTGGAGGAAAAATTCAATGTTGGTTATAAAGTCTAAACTGCTACTTTGGGGAGGAAATACAGTAGGAAAGGCCCATAAAAGTAGCCGCTCTGCCCGGCGGGCGGGGGCAGGGATCCGTGGTTATTTGCCCCTCTCGGTCCACACCTGCGTCCTCCATTGCGGCCGCTTTGCTGTGCTGGGCTCTGGTGCGGCTGCTGAGGCACCGGGCAGCGTCGGGAAAACTGCGGTTATCTTCTTACCCACTGGAGGTGCTGCTGACGGAGCCTCTGCAGGCGTCCTCTTGGCCCACGGAACCACGGCAAGGCAACTTTCGTTACCAAACGTCTTGACCGGAATTCTCTAGTAATCGGCATCATACGCATCCGCGTTGGAATCTAATTCCTGGGGCTGGGGGTCCCGGTCCAGAGTCGGCCCTATGACTCTGCTGGACAGGCGTTCTGCTTGTCCAGGTTGTGAGATGCATTTGTTCCTGTCGGAGTGACCATCGGGTTTCCACCCGGGGCAAATACGGTGTCTTGATCAGCGCGGAGAGGTGCGTTACAGGCCGCCTGCGTGTGCGGCACGCTGGTCGCCACGTCCTGCTGTGAGTGCACGTGCTCCCGCAGCACCCTTGCACACGCACATGCTTGTACACACACATGCTTGCACACACGGGCGCCTTCATGCGTGTGTAGTCAGCACCAGGTGAAAGCAGGATACCTGGGCCATTCTCAATTCATCAAAGGCAGTTTTAAAAAAAATTCTGTTTTATGGAGCAGTTTTAGGTTCATAGCAAAACTAAGTGAAAGGTTCAGAAACTTCCTGCATACCCTGCCCCAGACCTGCACAGCCCCCACCACCATCAATACCCCCACCGGGTGAAACACTTGTTACAACCGCTGAACCTGTGTTGACAGGTCATCACCTGAGTCCATAGTTTACATTGGGGTCACTCTTGGCATGGTACAGTCTATGGATCTGGACAGGCGTGTAATGACATGTAACACCCATTATTACAGCATCATTTGGAGTTTCGCTGCCCTAAAACCCTCTGCTCTGTCAGTTCAGCCTTCTCCCCTCAACCGTTTGCACCCACTAATCTCACTGTCTCCATAGCTTTGCCTTTTCCAGAATGTCAGAGGTGTGTCCCCTTTCAGATTGCTTATTTCACTTAGTCGTGTGCGTTTAAGGTTCCTGCACGTATTTTCATGGCTTGACAGCTCATAAGAAATGAGTGCTGAATAACAGTGTATTGTCTGGATGGACCACAGTTCATCCATCCACCTGCTGAGGGACATCTGATTGCTTTCAGTCCTATCAACTATGAACAAAGCTGCTGTAATGTCCTTGTGCAGGTTTGTGTGGACATCAGCTTTCAGCTCCTTTGGGTAAACACCAGGGAGCATGGCAGCTCGATCCTATGAGTATTTACTCTTGTGAGAAACCACCAAGCTGTCTTCCAAAGTGGCCGCACCGTCTGCGTTCCCACCAGCAGTGACCGAGCCTTCCCGCTGCTCCGCGGCCTCGCCAGCACTTGGTGTTGTCAGCGCTCTGGATTGTGGCCGTTCTGATAGGTGCGCAGGGGAGTCTCATTGTTTAATTTGCATTTGCCTGATGACATGGGATGTGGAGTGTCTTT